ACTCTCTGACTGTTAGTTGCCATGGAAGCGGTCATTCTACCTTGTTCCCTTCTCAGCATCAAACTAGTCAGAACTTGAAAGAAAAGGTAGAAAACAGGATATTCAACAGATCAGGACAAATTTAAACTGCAAACATCTCACTCTGTGGGCAGCAACATAGTGACAGTAATGCATTTAGATGCTTTTTAAAAATCATAGTCACGACAAAAGAGAGGAGCCAAACAGAAGTAACATGAGGAACACTTAAAATCTATTCTGTTTCTACAAGAGGTGGCTGGAATGGTTGGAGAAAGAGGCTGAATCATCTGTTCTGCTCAACAATATCATTTTCAGAAAAATACAAGAAGGCTTTTGTGTGAAAAGTGGATTAAAAAGCATCCTATATAATAATGAATGAATAAATGTATGAATGATTCTGAACATTTAATAACACATAAGTACAAACATAAGATAATTTGAAACTTTCCCCACTTCATTAAAACCAACACAAGAGTAACAGGTTTGGTTAAATTGTACTTTATAAGTAATTTCAACATGTAATACATATTCTATCTCATTCTGTTGTAGAGAACAGAGAATATACATGCTTTAACAGGAGTTACACTGCACACATTGTACCTAGGGTTACTTGCCAACCCCACCTATGCTGCTGCCGGCTCGGCTCCTCCTTGTCTGTGGTGAAGTCTTTCTCAGGAGCCCTGTCTCTGGCTGAGGTTTTTGTAGGGCTCCTACAGGCCTCTGCTCACTGTGCCCTCTCTCAGAGCACAGAAGTACACTGCTGAGTCCAGGAGCTGGGAGGCTGTGATGGTGAGCCTGATGGACCTGGCTGCCTTCTGAAAACTCAGAGAATACCGGCCCTCCATTGCACTGTGTTCACTGTAAGAGTCCTGACGAATAAGGAAAATCATTTCCCCACTAGGCTGTGATGGAGCCTGATGGACCTGGCTGCCTTCTGAAAACTCAGAGAATACCGGCCCTCCATTGCACTGTGTTCACTGTAAGAGTCCTGACGAATAAGGAAAATCATTTCCCCACTCGGTGGTTGTTTGTACCAGAATAAGGAATAAGCAGGATCACTGGTTTCATACACACAGTCCATGGTCACAGCCTCCTTCTCCAGCCCTGAAATTGCAGTCTGAGCTTGAGCTACCTTCTGGGCCATGCTGGTTCCTGTAGGAAAAAGGAAAGAAATAGATTGATCCTTTATGTGTAACCATGGAAGTAGAAGGGATAAAGTGGCTTAGGACCAAGCACTCTGGTTCCATGGTCCATTAATCCCTCCCATTTGAACCTCACCAAATAATGATCTCTTTTCCCCATTTTCTCCTCATTCCGAGATGAGAAAAGCCTGAGCCTTGTACTTACAGACATACTCACCAAGACCAAGACAGACGAGAACAGAGGCTGCCCCCAGCAGACTGGTGATCAGCATGGCAGTAGCTGATGTGTTCTGTTGTACCTCAAATCCGGATCTCAATTCTGTGCCTTGCTTTATGGGATATAAGCAAAGTTACTGGGCTACACAGTGTGCCCAAACAGGAAATGCAGTTAACAGATACGGGGCACTCTTCCTGTAGGGGCAGGGGTGCCAAACTGTCCTGAGCACCAATTGTGTCTTGGTATAATGTACTGCCCTGGGAATAATCGGTGGTAAAATTGAATCCTTTTAGGTCATTCCAGTCCGGTTCACAATTTAGTATGAACATTGGTGAGTTTGTGGGAAAACAGAGTCATGCACATTTGGGTTTACTTATGCCTCCTTTTCTCCAGACAGAACCAAAGTGAAAAGTAACCACACAGTTTTGACTCTCCAAAAAAAAAGATGAACTTTTAGTCTCAATCTTTGTCCCTACCATGCTAGTCAGGTGATCCAGAAAACTTACATGAAAAATCTTTTGCTGTTTATAGGTGATTTCACATCATGCCCCTTGATTCCAGATTGTCAAGTGTATGCCAGGTCAAGTAAAAGTAGGGAAGAAAATAGTCACATGACTGTGTGCACATATTGTGTGTGCACACTTGTGTAAAAAATAAATTCAGAAAATTCTCCTCAGAGTCCAGTTATAGGAATTCATGTTGTAACTAAACCCCTATGTTTCTGAAAGTTCTGCTGCTTCTAACTGAGCAGAATACTTGTGGAAATTGGGCTGGGGAAAATTCAAAATGCACAATTCATTACCAGGACTTTATCAAAAATAATAAAGATCCTTTTGAAAATACCAATAAAATTCCAGTTTTGTTGGCAGTTGAAACCACACCATGGGTAATCCACTTGTGGTCTTAAATTAAAAGAATTTTTATTTCACCCCTCTAAGTACCTAAATCCATAAGAGATCGTAGGTGTATACTAAGACCATGTTCACAAAAATTTTACATTATTTGTCTTCAACAATTATTTTAACACTGGAGATCCAGATATACTGACAATTTTTCCTATAACTTCTATTTTTTGTAAAAGCTTTAGGTTCACAACATTAAGGAGAAGAGGAGAAGTTTTGGAGATTTGCCATCTACTTGCCCACCTTTAGGCATAGCCTGCCTATTATTAACATTAAGCACTAGCGGGATACAGATGTTATAGCCAATCAAGCTGTAGGAACTCACTGTCGCCTACCGTTCATTGTGCACATAAGAGTTAACTGTTAAAGCAGTGTGTTCTGTGGCTTTATAAAAATAAATAATGACATGCATCTATTATTATAGTATACAAAATACTATTCTATACAGAACGTTTTCCTTACCTGATGTTCTATAACTAAATAGTTGTTGACTAGGCAATTAATTCTATGCCAATAAAGAGTCAGTTTGTGACATACAATTTATATCTTTATCAAATTATTATTTAAAACATATGCGTGAAAGTATTCATAGAATGAGAGGTGAAGTGGCTTGATTGCTGTGGTGGAAAGTAAGATACAGGCTAGGAGACGTGACACTATCAGGACAAACTGAGGCTATTACATTAGTTCAGCCTTTAAGAGGAAAGTGACCTTTGTGAGATTAACCAGAAAGTACATCAAGATTTATTTCAAGGCCCCTTGCTGTCTCATGCTCCAAACCCTTTTATTGGTAATTTCATTTTATTTTTCTTAGACAGAGTCCCAGATATCAGAGCTACATCAGGCCCTGCAGAACCTGCCTCTGCACCTGCCAAGCCCAGAGGCAACCAGATGGAAAAAGGTCAAGTAAGGCTCCCACAGCTCCAGAATGTTAGGAAAGCTTCTCCATATGAGCAGATGCCTTGAGGGTTTCAATGACAGCCCAGTCTTCACTTCATGCTTTTTGGGTTGGGAATCCCAGTGAAACAAAGCCAATAGGCATCCACTTTGATCTTTAAACAAACACCTGAGACCTTCATTAGACCCTGAATTTGACCCTGTGCAGGAGGATCGTGAGGACAAGTGAAATCATAAGAAAATGTGACATGTCCCAAAGTTATGGTCCCACCCAGAATGCAGTTCTTCTCGGGGCAAATATTCTCAAGACCAGAACTGGGAATGAAGTTAAACTTCTGCTGGGCTGAGAGCACGGTCAGAGTGAGAGGTGTGAGTATGGGGTGAAGAATGGCACCATGGTTCTGGCTATACTGCTGGGCTGCTCTGAAACCACCGTGCCTGGACAGAAGGCTCATCTCTGGCCCAGGTGCTGTCTCCCAAAGAACCACTCTGGCAGCTGCATTTCCATAGCAACCCGTGGGAAGCAGGGATCAAGGAAAAAAACAAATAAAGTCCCCATTTACTGAAGGTGGTGTTTCTGCTGTGAAAAGCAGTAAGACACACAAAACATTATCTTCAGAGTGTGAAAAGAGAGCCATCTTCAGGATGAGAAACACTGAGTTCAAGAAACCCTGGTTCTCTGACAACATGATGAAGCTACAAATTTATCAGCCCCCTGTGTTACAGCTCTTAACATGACAGGAAGTAAAACTCCTCCTTGGTACAAACATTATGTGGATGTTCTGTAGTGTGAAATGAAATCCATCTCTAATGGGCGCCGATGATGGTCATTAAAAAATGCAAGTCCATCACTTCAACAGAGACTGTTCCAGGAAGATGGGAACTCAACCAAGTAATCCAGATCTTCAGAATCATGCTAGGTGTCCATGAAAGAGGTGAAGATAGGCCAACATGAGGTATCTGGGAACCACTGCTCCAATCCATGTTTCCCCTGGCCTCCTCCATTTCTTTTTTTCAACAAGTATGTTCTCTTCAAACACATTTTCAATAGTGTCAAAACTGAGGTGAAGGAAACTACCATCAGCATTTATTTGTCTAGTAGAAGTAATAATAAATAGATGGGAAACTATGTTTGATCCTAGAAGTACCTGCTTTCAAAGCAAGCATTTGGGACCTGATAATTGAGAATGTGCATCCTTCACCTGGATGATGAAAAATTATGGCTTCTTTAGATGTTTCTATTTTACTCATAGAGAAACAGGTTTGGAAATCACACAACTCAAATTGCAGAATCAGATTTGGATATTTGTCTCTATTTTTTCAAGATTCGGATCTCTGCCTCAGTATGCTCCTGGGCTGTGAAATGAAATGTTTCGTAGAAAGTGTGCTCAGATGCCTGATGAGCCCTCTGGTTCCTGATATTAGAGGAACACAAGACTCATCTGAGCCACTCAAAGACCTACCTAGGTGTTGGAGGCGTACAGAGACCAAAGGAGACCTTCCAATACTGAGTAGCATTTCCTTCTCCTCCACAAGTGTCCAGGGCTTACTTTTTCCTGCCAGAATTAGAGTGTGAAAATCTTTAGGCTCAGTGATCCAAATCCTTCATTTCCAGTGAGGAACTCAAGGGCCGCTATAATGACTGTGAGGCTGAGGATGTATATACCCAGGATGGCAGAACGGAACATAGAATTTCAGTTTCCGATTTCAAGTTTCATGCCTTTTGTCTTAGTCCAAGATATTTCCCCAAAAAAGCACAAAGTTGAAAGGGCTCCCCTTTTCCATTGCCAGTAGATGCTCCTTCTTGAGGAGAAACCACCACCTTCACCCACCTTCACAGCTGCCAGGAAGCAGCCCTGGTGGGGTTTGTGTGCAGCTGCAGTGGCCTGCTGCACACCGTGAGTCTGTAGCACAGAAGTAAGCAGCAGAGTCCGCGGCCCGGGCAGCAGTGATGGACAGGGAGCTGCTTTTGCTGGAGGTGTCAAGGGCGGCTCTTAGTCTTCCACTGTGTTTCTCTCTCTCATTTGATTGCATCCAAATTAGCAGGACAGGGCCTCCACCTGCAACCTGTCTATACCACTGTAGATTCCTTATAGAAGATTTGTAACTGCAGCTGATGGTGGCATTTTCACCCTCCTGGACGCTCAGGGCCTGAAGAACCTCTCCTTGTTGGCTGTTCACACCTAGGTAGAAACATAACCAGAGATGAAGTCCATCACTGCACTTCCAGATTTACGTTTCCAAATTAACAGGAGACTTTACCTCTCGGTCACGTGGGCCCTGAACTTTGGTGAACTTTTTAGCAATGCCAGAAACCCCCATCCTTACCCCACCCCCACTCACGCACTAGTTGAAGACACAAGGTCACCAAGGACACTGCCAGGAGTTTCTGCATTCTCCTTTCTAGATGGAATTTCGGGAAACTCAGCTCTGGGGCATGAAATGAAGCCACGCTTCTCAATTAGAAGAGTTGGATCCTATTACTGAGTGTATTCCTTCCTGTTCCCCTAGAGTCTGTTTCTTACCCAGCCAGTCAGAGGCAAGCTCAATCCTTCGATCAGAATGCACGCAGGCACAGACAGGCACACTTGTGGAGGGAGACACTGCCATCTGGTGGTGGCAAGATCAACCTACTAATAGAATGTACTCTGGAATGGGAAAAAGCAAAACTGAAGCAGCAGACATTAGACATCTATTTCATTCTGTGTCTTTATAGAACTTTGATTTTGACTTAGATTAAGAACAGATATAGTTTAATTCGGATAAAATTTCAATGAAGAAGGAAGTGCTACAACCCCTGAAAACATGTCTACACGGGGGACATCTATCATGTTGGACTAGAGACAACAGCAAACAAGCCACTCTAGGCCATTCACCCAGGTGATCCTGCAACTGCTGGAGGTGGTAACAAGCCCAACGACCATAATAAAGCTTGAAAAAGACAGAGAACATGTAAAATCAAGAGATAGGGGTGGCTGGGAGAGGAGTAAACAGCCTATGGATGCCAGCACTGCTCACAGCACAGGACTGGAAAGCACCCCGTTATGTGAAAAATACAAAATTCTGCCAGGGAAGAAGCCAATGTGAACAGCTGCTGCTCGGCTCCCAGCATAGACACCTCCAGTCCCGGTACCGGTCTGGCTCAGCAGTTCTCCTGCCCTTATGGGATGTGAGGCCCCGAGACTGAAATATTCATCTGGGAAAGCCTCTCGGGGCCTGAGACCGCCCGACAGTAAGACAAAGACTCAAAGGGCTGGGGCAAGAATCTCTAAGTGTTAAGGGTGCAGAAAGACAGAGGGGACAGCCAGAGCTGGGTTGAATTCAGAGCCAGAGAGAAACTCACCAAGTTCTGATTGAGCTAGAAACACCAGGTATTGAGGCGCAGAGAGTTAGAAGGTACAGCCCCAGATACTGAGGAACCAGGAGTTAGACTCCAGGATGGGAGGAGGGTGTCCCACAGAGCTAAAAGTTGCAAGTGCTGAGACAGAGGGAGACTGATCAGATGATCCTGCCTCAGGCTAGTGTCTTCCCAGCTCCAGGCACGACGGGAACCAAAATGCAGAGAGAGACTGAGAAGGCTGTGGCAGCTGGAATTCTCGGGCTTCAGAGGCAAACAGAAGGGGAGCTGAGGTTGTGTCCTTCCTGAGCCCAGATGCCACTGGGATCACAGGCCAGAGAGAGTCTGTGCTAACGGCAGTACAGCTGGGTGACAGAGGGAGGCCTGGGCAGAGTTAGTCACAGAGATAGCAGCTTGGGAGCCTGAGGCTGGGATCAGCTGGAGGAGCTGTAGAGGGCCACACACACCGTTGTCCTAAGAAAACTAGAGGCTCTAGAATGTGGTGCTCTAAGCTCAGGAACATTTCTAAGCCACCCTGGTATAGTCCTCCAAATAAATTCAACGTGATAATTGTCCTCTTCTTTTCTTTTCTTGCAATTGTGTGTGTGTGTGTGTGTGAAATCAAAAGGTAATATAAAATCAGAATTGATCTAAACACTACTAATGGTTTACTTTTTTCTAGCCTATTATATTTTATTAAACTTCTTATCTTTTCTTGGGATTTTTTTATTACTCACCTTGTATTTTACTGTGATGTGGGTACAGTGGACCCCTGACTTATGAACTCCATTCATTCCCAAAGGCTGGTTGTAACTAAAGTTGGTCGATTAAAGGTGCAGGCTCCTTTACACAGCCTTCAAAGTCTCTCTCCTATATACAGGCAGATCTTGGTGTCCCTAGAGAGATATTGGCCCAAGATTTCTCAATTAACCCCACACAAGAAAGGATGTTGTAATTTCATACCAGAATTCTGTAAATCTATATTTGAGAAGCACAAGTGGCCAGCATTCGAGTCATAAGTCAAGAATTTGGTCATACATTAAAACTAAAATTCCAGGGCTGGGGATTGAGCTCAGTGGTTTCACAGCCTGCCTTGCAAGCACAAGGGTCAGAGTTCGATCTGAAAAAAAAACTAAAATTCCAGTCATAACCAAGTTGTTTATGTCAGGCCAGTCACAATTCAGGGTCCACTGTAATGGAGGGATCTTAAAACAAGTTCTTAATTACCTGATATTACACATGATTATCTCCTCAACAGTTGATGTTACAAGGAGGTACTCTTTCCTCTCAAAACAGTGTTGGTAGTATTCTGAATCTAGTATTGAGAACATATTAGGGGGAAACACTCCCATGGAAATATATCCATAGTCCTGGACCCATCAACAGGAGCAAGCCATTTGCCAAAAAGATCCCCTCATGACTGTGGAAGAGATAGTCTTCATATCTGAACTGGAGGCCTCAAAACAAAATCACAACTAAAATGAGAAAACAATGTAACCCAATCCCTCTAAAAACTCTTAACTTCCCAAAAGCTGATCCCACCGAAGACGAAGTGATTAAAATTCCATGGAAAGAATTCAAAACAAAACTGATAATAAAAACAATCAGTGAGATCAAACAAAAAAATAAGCAGCTGAATCAATTACTAAAATGATCAGTGAGTTTCACAAAGATACAAATAACCAGTTGAATGAAATAAGGATGACAATGTAGGATATGTAAGATGGTAGAGGTTATGAAGAAAAATCAAGCAAAAAGCCTAGAAATGAAAATCTCAATAAATCAAATTTTTTTAAAAAATTAATTGAAAATCTCAGCAATAAACAAGATGAACCAGAAGAAATAACATCAAGATTTAAAGACAATTTTAACATACTAGCACACTCAGTGAGTAATAATGAAAAAAGGGACAAGAAATAATCAAAAGATTAGGGTTGTTCTTTAGACAACCCTAAAGAACAAATTTATAATCGCTGGCTTCAAGGAAAGTGATGAGGTACAGACTAAAGAAATATGAAGTCTAATTATTTAAATTCATGAAGAAAATTTCCCAACTTTGACTAGATGGACTTGAAACTTTAGGCTGGCCAATCAAGCAATAGAAAGAAATAAAACAAACATGATTAGGAATGGAAGATGTCAAATTATTCCTATTTATAGATACTATGATATTTTACACAGAAGACTCAAAAATTCTGCCATATGAATTTTAGAAATGGTAAGCAAATTCAGTAAAGTGGCAGTAGACTATTGGAGTAGAATAAAAGACACAGAAACAAAGACAAGAACTATGCAGTCATTTTGACAAAGAAAAGACAATCTCTTTACCATATGGTGCTAGAAAAACTGGATATTCACATGCAGAAAATTGCAAACAAGTTCCTTATCTTTCACCCTATAATAAAATCAAATTAAAACAGGTCAAACATCTAGATATAATACCAGAAACTTTGAAAATGATGAAAGAAACTATAGGGGAAACCCTCGAAGCAATAGGCAGACAAAGCCTTCTTGAACAGGACTCCAAAAGCATAGAAAATAATGTCAAGAATCCACAAATGGGACTACAGCAGGACAGCAAAATAAACAACTAACAGAATGAAGATACAACCTGCTACATGGGAGAACAACCTACTACCTACTCTTGATATAAATGATTACCATAAAAAAATGTAGGGACAGTGAGAAGGGTAGGGGAAGGGGAATAAGGGAAAGGGAAAAAATATGAGAAAATGTAAAAATGGAATTAAAGTCTTTGTAGGGAGGGAGGGGAAGAGGGGATGAAGGGAGGGTGGGGACAAGGGGGAAAATGAGAACCAAAACCTGTCATGTAAAAGTACAAGATCCCAGTAATGAATGTAACTGTACTGTCTACCTAGAATGTACCAATAAATTCAATTTAAAA